TGCAGGGAAATGGATGGAAGTGGAACAAATTGTGCTGAGCGAGGTAAGCCAAGATCAGAGAGGCAAATGGCACATGGTCTCCCTGATATGTGGATGTTAAATTCAAATTGTAAGGAGATATGACAAAGTAAACAGAACTCGAGAAGCAAAGGACCTCTTCTTAATTTGTCCTATCATTTCTAGACGACTATGTTCTTGACTTCATATATGGTATATACATGTGCACATCTGAGGGAAGCTAGGAGGAAGGCACAGAATCAGAGGGAAATGGGGAAAAATACAACAGAGGAGCCCATTAGCTGCAATGGACATTGATAAAAGTGAATTCAGCAACTCAAGGGCAGCAATGGGAGGGAGGGAATGAGAGAAAACAAGGGAACAGCTAAAACTAAACAAAAAGAAATGCACATATCGCCCATTTTGAAAAAATACCTATAGTGTCAAAGTTTGTGCCTGATAATGACAATGTACCTCATAGAGGTTAAAATGTGTTTGTGACTTTAACTGTCACCATCCCACAATACTCTGAAATTTGTGAAATTTATGTAATCACTTAATCTCAATAAAAAATAAAAACAAAGAAAGCACACACATGAAGGCACACACCAGAACAAGGCAGCGAATACCCGGTGGGAGGGAGGGTACATCACGAGGACCCATGACATTAAGCATGCTAGATACACTGTTCAGCAGTAACAGTATCTGTCTAGGACCTGAGTTCAAACCCTAGTATCAGAGAAAAAAGAGGGGGAAAAAGATTGAGAAGCTAGGTCAGGATTAAATGTCCCACTTCAGTTAGCATCCTCAGGATTCCCCAGGTTTCACTTGGGACTTGTGCCCAACCCTCCCAGCCCTACCCCATCTCGTTCCCATAGAAACCACCGGTGGCATTAGAGGGTGGTAGTGAACCTAGGAGCCCTGGCTCTGGAGCCCATGCTCCTGCCACGGAGCATGCGCTCTGCTTCTGGGATTGCTGTGGAGGAGTCGGAGTCATCTGGTACCAGGTGCCATGCCAAGGGAGAGTGGGGTGGAAGAAAGCTGTGCGTGGGGCCTCATGGGAGCTACCTGTGGTCCTGGAACAAAGTGCTCTAGCCCCTCCCTGATCTCAGGTTTCCCATCATCCCTAGAGGAGGGGAGGGGAAGGCACAGCTGATCTCCCAGCATAAAGGATGCTGAGATGAATTAGGTTACAGTGAGTTCCTGCCCCCGTGGCCTGTCCTGCCATGGTAGATGACAAGTGGATGCCGAAGTAGCTGGAATCGCTAACAGAACTGTTCTGGACCCTCCTTGCCGGATTCCAGGTATTCCGTGTCAAGGGTTGCCATGATTCACTTCTGTCTGGCTCACACAGCCTACCGAGTGCACTGCCAGCTGCCAAGGCCACAGCGTCTCAGGCTGTAAGTATCCCTCCCTTGTGCTGGGTCAAAAAGGAGTCCATTTCCCCCTGAGGCACTCTTCAAGTTTTACTAAAATGTACTTCTAGCTGGGCACCGGTGGCTCATGCCTATACCTTTATTTTTTTTTTTTTTGGGTCCGGTAGTGGGGCCTGGACTCTGGGCTTGGGCGCTGTCCCTCAGCTCTTCAGCTCAAGGCTAGCGCTCTACCACTTGAGCCACAGCACCACTTCCGGCTTTTTTCTTTTTGCTTATGTGGTGCTGAGGAACCGAACCCAGGGCCTCAGGCATGCAAGGCAAGCGCTCAACCACTGAGCCATCTTCCCAGCCCGGCTCATGCCTATAATCCTAGCTACTGAGGAAGCTGATCTGAGGATGACGGTTCAAAGCCAGCCCAAGCAGGAAGGTCCATGAGACTCTTATCTCCAATAAACCACTAGAAAACCAGACCCGGTGCTGGGGCTATCAAGTGGTAGAGCGCTAGCCTTGAGCTGAAGAGCTGAGGGACAGCACCCAGACCCAGGGTTCAAGCCTCATGACAGACAAAAAAAACCCCAAAATCTAAAATGTACTTCCAATTTTTAAATCCATGAGCTTTGCAGGTTTTAAAAACCACTGTGATGTAAATGTTAATGTAACATTTTTTAAAAAGATGAATTTACAATTACTGAACTCTATCAAGGAAAAGAGTAGTTGTTTGGTTCTCCTTGTCACGCTTCCAGATGCTCAGTGCAGACGTGTGTTGATCCCTTGTTAAACAAGGTTTACTGATGCTGGTGCTGGTGGCTCCTATCTGTCATCCTAGAACTCAGGAGGCTGAGATCTGGGGATCACAGTTCAAAGTCAGCCTAGGCAGGAAAGTCTGTGTGTGTGTGTGTGTGTGTGTGTGTGTGTGTGTGTGTGTGTGTGTGTGTGTGTGTGTGTGTTTTGTTTTTTTGCCAGTCCTGGGGCTTGAACTCAGGGCCTGGGCTAGCGCTCTACCACTTGAGCCACGGCACTGCTTCCAGCCTTTTCTGTTTATGTGGTGCTGAGGACTCCAACCCAGGGCTTTGTGTATGCTAGGTAAGCACTCTAACACTAAGCCACATTCCCAGCCCTGACTGTGAGATTCTTACCTCCTATCAAAAAGCCATAAATGGAGCTGTGGCTCAAGTGGTAGAGTGATACCTTTGAGTGAAAACGCTGAGGGACAGCGCCCAAGCCCCAAGTTCAAGGCCTAGTACTAGCACACATGCATACACACACACACACACACACACACACACACACACACACACACACACACACACACAATAATGTGACTGAGCTGACCACTATTTCTTTAAAAATAGTTACTTTAAATGTACCTATTTCTTGTTCCAACAACGCTGGACTGCTTTAACTTCTCTTGGAAGTGTACTCTGAAGTTGAATCTTCTTTTGAGTACCTTCATTTCATTTGGAGGGTAGATTAGTTTGCTACAATCTAAAGTCATTCAGTGATAAACTCTACTAGTAATATAGACAACCAAAGTGGGTAGAGTTTGTGGTGAAGAAAAGAGAAGTGCTATTATTTAATAAAGGACAATCTATAACTCACTTAAAATCTTCAGTCTAGGCTCCCTCACTTCTAAATGGGGATATCAGGCACAGAGTGCTGCCTATAGCCTCTGTTACTTGGGAAGCTGGAGCAGCAAAATTGAGCCCAGGAGTTCAGTCAAGGCCAGCCTAGCCAATACAGCAAGCCAGTCTAACAATGACAGAAAGGACTGGGAATGTAGCTAGTGATAAAGTGCATGTGTAGCAAATGCAAAGTCCTGGATTCAATACTCAGCATCCCGCTAAGAGAAATGAAGGAAGGGAGGTAAGAAGGAAGAAAGGAGCCGGGTGCTGGTGGCTCACGCCTGTAATCCTAGCCACTCAGGAGACTGAGATCTGAGGATCGCGGTTCAAAGCCAGCCCAGGCAGGAGAGACTCCTATCTCCAATAAACCACCAGAAAACCGGAAGTGGCGCTGTAGCTCAAGTGGTAGAGCGCTCGCCTTGAGCTGAAGAGCTGAGGGACAGCGCCCAGGCCCAGAGTTCAAGCCCCATGACCAACAAAAAAAAAAAAAAAGAAGGAAGAAAGGAGTGAAAGGAGGGAAGAAGGGAAGCAAGTAAAGAAGGCAGGAAGTAGGGAGGGAGGGAAGGAAGGAGGGAAGAAAGGCAGCAAGGAAGGAGGAAGGAGGGAGAGAGAGAAGGAAGGAAGGAAGAAGGAAGGAAGGAAGGAAGGAAGGAGAAAAGAGAATTGGGGCTATTGTCCTTAACTTATAGAATCATGTGAATACTAAGTATATAATGCATATAAAATATGTGATGCTCTTATTCCAATATGAACGTTTATAACTATTGTATGTTTGTCTTTCCTATTTTCTACTTACTTTTACTTTCTCTGTTAGTAACTTCTTTTTGTCAGTCATGGGGTTTGAACTCAGGGTGTGGATGCTGTCCTTGAGCTCTTTTTGCTCAAGGCTAGAACTCTACCACTTTGAGCAGTAGCTCCACTTCCAGTTTTGGGGTGGTTAATTAGAAATAAAGAGGCTCACAGATTTTCCTGCCTAGGCTGGCTTTGAACCATGATCCTCATATCCCTACTTCCTCAGTAGCTAGGATTATAGGCATGAACTACCAGCACCCAGCTAATAATTTTTAATGTATTTGTCAGTTAGCTCTTTCATAAATTAACTTAGACATGGCAAAGGAACCAGAGCTCTAAAGATTCCTTAGAGGCCACTATTGGCAATGCCTGCTCCACAGTAGGAGCAGGAGATGCTCATCTCCAATTAACAACTCAGAAACCAAAAGTGATGCTGTGGCTCAAGTGCTCTACGCACTAGCCTTGAGCACAAAGAGGCTCAGGAACAGTGTTCAGGCCCTGAGTTCAAGTCCCACAACCATATCAATCAATCAATCAATGGTAAAATAAATGGTACTATTAATCTTCCTATTGAAGTATTATTAGATAATAATTTTATTCTAATGGGATGAACCTGAATTCATGTTGGCTACTTTTAGAGTTTTACCTCTGATTTAATTATCACGAAATGGAAGTGGGGACTATCAGTAGACAAGGCATGACCACCTGTAACTCTCTGTGTCCCATGTAGCTAGGTGACAGTGATCTTCCTTGGGGTCATGACTTTGCTTCTCCAGTTCTATATTCTGCTAAGGTAAGTTGTATTCTTTGGATGAGGGGCAGTATGAGGGCAGACGAGGGACTGAACTCAGAACCTCAGGCTTGCTAGGCGGGGCTCTCCAGCCCAGAAGTAAGGTCTTATAGGCAGCAGCCAGCATGCAGTTCTTACCTGTGGAGGTAGTATGGATGCTCTCTGTGACCTCCAGTACATCTTTCACAACAGCCTGCCCCATTGTCTCTGCCCTTACTGTCAGTGGCAGTCACCAGTCAATACAGTGAGGATGATGAGGATGTGGGCAGGTGGAATTTGTTTTGATCAACACTTTCAGTATAAGAAACCAGTAGTGGAGACAGAAAATAAGAGCACCAATGTCTCCATTTATGGATCCCCTAGGGGCCAGTCCCAAGGGTCTAGCATTAGCCAATGTCTGGAAGGCAACACAGGCACACTCACCTAGATTATGATTGGATCTTCTTTCAGATTCAATGCCACAAACAGCCAGGTAGTTAATGACACTGTGAGTAAAGGAAGCAAATACAACTTGACCATTTAGAGAAAAAAAACTGCAGTCCTAAACCCTTGAAATCTAAAAAATGTGAGAATTAAGAATCCACTTAAAAGTCAGGCGCTGGTGTCCCATGCCTATAATCCTAGCTACTCGGAAAGCTGAGTTCTGAGGATCACTGTTCAAAGCCAGCCCAGGCAGGAAAGTGTGTGAGACTCTTATCTCCAATTAATTGCCAAACTAGAAGTGGCACTTTGGCTCAAAGTGGTAGAGTTCTAGCATTGAGCAAAAGAGCACAGGGACAGCACCCAAGCCCTGAGTTCAAGCCCCACAACCGACAAAAAAAAAGGGGGGAGCCAGATGCCAGTGGCTTATGCCCGTAATCCTAGCTACTCAGGAGGCTAGGATCTGAGGATTATGGTTCAAAGCCAGCCCAGGCAGGAAAGACTGTGAAACTTTTATCTCCATTGATCACCAAAAAGCTGAAAGTAGAGCTGTGGCTCAAGTAGTAGGGAGGCAGCATTGAGTTACTCAGGCTGCGATCTGAGGACTGTGGTTTAAAGCAGGGAAGTCCATGAGACTCATTTCCAATAACTACCGAAAAGCCAGAAGTAGAGCTGTGGCTCAAGTGGTAGAGCACCAGCCTTGAGCAAAAAGCTTAGGAACAGAGTCTAGGTCCTGAGTTCAAGCTCCAGGATTGGCACATGCGAGTATACACACAGACACATACACAAGCACACACACATACATACATGCATACATACACAAACACATCTCTTTAAGTGATAGGAAAGAAGGGATTGCTGTGGTACTGATTGTAATTAGTTTAATCTAGCCCAGCTAGGTCAGAATTTTCACAAAGTATTCTTTTTAGCCCAATTATCCATAGAATGAACTAGAAAAAGATTTTGTCTAGCAATTTTGACCATTAATACCTGTATTACTAATTTTCTAAATAGAAGTTGCAAAGAGCCAACAAGAACTTAGCATCAAATTTAGGATTAAAGATGGTGGCTTCTGGTATAGTACTTGTTTAGTAGATTTCTTGTAACAGGTAATGAACTACAATATTAAGAATATTGATTTATAGGCCGAGGTCATCTCGCTACTGCAGTCAACCTCTCCTTTTCAACCTGGTTGGCTACACACTGCTCAAACACTGTGTAGAATGGTTAAGAGATGGACTTGCGGGGCTGGGAAGGTGGCTCAGTGGTAGAGCGCTTGCCTTGCATGCCTGAGGCCCTGGGTTCGATTCCTCAGCACCACATAAGCAAAAAGAAAAAACCCAGAAGTGGTGCTGTGGCTCAAGTGGTAGAGAGCTAGCCTTGAGCTGAAGAGCTGAGGGACGGTGCCCAGACCCAGAGTTCAGGACCCACGACCGGACCTAAAAACAAAAACAAAAACAAAACAAACAAGAGATGGATTTGCTCTTCTGTCAGACTGGACCCCAAGGGAAGGGGAGGAACTCACTTTTAAAATACAGATAAAAAAAGCTGGGCACTGGTGGCTCACACCTGTAATCCTAGCTACTCAAGAGGCTGAGCTCTGAGGATCATGGTTCAGAGCCAGCTCAGACAGGAGAGTCCATGATACTCTTATCTCCAATTAACTACCAGAAAACCAGAAGTGGCACTGTGGCTCAAAGTGGTAGAGTGCTAACCTTGAGCAAAAAAAAGTTCAGGAACAGCTTCTAGACCCTGAGTTCAAGAACCACAACCGGTAAAATAAAATAAAATAAAAGCTGGCACTGGTGGTATAATCTTAGCCACTCAGGAAGCTGAAATCTAAGAATCCCAGTTCAAAGCCAGACAGAGTGGAAAAGTCCATGAGACTCTTATCTCTAATTAACTACCAAAAAGCCATAAGTAGAGGTGTGGCTTAGGTGGTAGAGAACCAGCCTTGAGTGAAAATGCAAACAAGAGTTCTGAATTCTGGCCCCAGGACAGGCAAACTACACAAAAAGTACGGATGAAGAGTGTTTTTAAATGTTTCTTGGTACCTTCTGTAGTTGTCCTACAATTTGAATATGAAACCTGCTTAAGTTAAATAGAAATGCTTTGTGTCATAAAATTATTTATAGTGTTAAAGTGCTAGTTTGAGTTTTATTCAATAAGTTGTTATTGGTCAGGAGATGATACTCGGTACACAAACTGGGATGTCCACAATTTAGGCCAGCCAGGTCTGATGGCTTATGCCATGATTCTAGCTACTCAGAAGGCAGAGAGAGGAGCCACGAGCCAGTAGCTTGCACCTGTAATCCTAGCTGCACAGGAAGCGAGATCTGAGGGTTACGGTTTGAAGCCAGCCCAGGCAGAAAAGTCCCCATGAGACTCTTAGCTCCAATTAACCACTCAAAAAACTGGAAGTGGAGCTGTGGCTCAAAGTGGTAGAGCACTAGCCTTGAGCAGAAGAGCTCAGCGACAGCACCCAAGCCCTGAGTTCATGCTCTATGACTGACAAAAGAAAAAGAAGGTAGAGGTAGGGAGGATTAAAGTACCAGGTCAGGTAAAAAGTTAACAAGACTCCATCTCAGCAGATAAGCTGTGAAGGGTGGTTTATGCCTGTCATTTCCAGATAGGTAGGAGGCTATAAATAGGAGGATCAGTTCAAGGCTATTTGCATAAAACTGCAAGACCCTATCTGCAAAATGACTAAAGCAAGAAGAACTCAGGGCATGGCTCAAGTGGTAGAGTACCTGTTAATCAAGCACAAGGCCCTGAGTTAAAAAAAAAGAAAATTAACAAGTGACACCTAGTTTAAACAAAAATGATGTTTAGAGGTAGGGTCCAGTTCAGTAGCATACAGAAGGCCCTGGGCTTGATATCTAGCACCAAACTAGCTCAAAAATTTACTATAAATAAGCAGTTATTAAGTGCCTTAGCCACTCTCACAGGACAAGAGAGGGTTACAGCTCCACTAGAGGCAACACAGTGTAATAAGGAAGCATGTGGACTTAGAGACTGGTTCAATTATTCACTGTGCAAACAGACTTCTCTGAGCTTCTCTTTCATCATTTATGACTATAGACAGAAATGCTTGCATCGTGTTTATGATTACCAGCATTGCTAATAAACACACAACCTGCATCAAAGAAAGACAGTCTGTTTAGGTTGTGAGTACTTATGTTCCACAATACAAAGCCAAGAAATAGATTACATTTAGGATTCTACTTGAGAACATGCTTCTGAGTGTGGGCCATGGTGGTTTATGCCTGGAATCCCAGCATTTAGGAGGCTGATGTAAGGAGGATTGAAAGTTTGAGGCCAATCTAAGCTACATAGTGAAGCTTGTCTCAAAAAAAAAAAAAAAAAAGAGGCTGGCTCAGTGCTTGCCTTGCATTGGTTCGATTCCTCAGCACCACATAAGCAGAAAAAGCCAGAAGTGGTGCTGTGGCTCAAGTGGTAGAGTGCTAACCTTGAACTGAAGAGCAGAGGGACAGTGCCTAGGCCTAGAGTTCAGGCCTCATGACCAAAAAAGAAGAGCAAAAGCATCCATTTCTGAGCTGGTAAAAGTTACTACACCAATGCTATTCCTCGTCCCGTTAGGACTCACCGTGCTGCTGACTCGGTTGGAGCCAGTCCCGAGGACACTGAAGGGGATGCTTTGTGTGTTGGGCGTGGGGTCCTTCAGGGAAGGAGTGTGCACTTTGGGCTTCACAGTTTGGGCATCAGACTGTGTATGTTGCTTTTTTTGGTTGGTCATGGGGCTTGAACTCTGGGCCTGAGTGCTGTCCCTGAACTCTTCAGCTCAAGGCTAGTGCTCTACCACTTAAACCGCAGCACCACTTCCAGTTTTCTGGTGGCTAATTAGAGATAAAGAGTCTCACGAACTTTCCTGCCTATGCTGGCTTTGAACCTCGATCCTCAGATCTCAGCTTCCTGAGTAGCTAGGAGTACAGGTGTAAGCCACCAGCACCAGAAGATTTATAGGCTCAGCTTAATTTGAAAGCTTGACTGTAAACAATACACAATTAGTCATCAATATTTATTATCTACTTATCCTAAATACAGAGATAAGCAGAAATGGAATTCCTAATTAGATGCATAAAAACTACTCTAAGAAAGTTAAAACATTCTACAAATAGCAAGGGCTGTTGGCTGCTGGTGGCTCACGCCTGTAATCCTAGATACTCAGAAGGCTTGAGATCTGAGGATCACGGTTTGAAGCTAGCCTGGGCAGAAAAGTCCCCGTGAGACTCTTTATTTTTCTTTTGTCAGTTCTGGGGCTTGAACTTAGGGCCTGGGCACTGTCCCTGGGCTTCTTTTGTACTCTACCACTTGAGCCACAGCACCACTTTTACCTTTTTCGGTTTATGTGGTACTGAGGAATTGAACCCAGGGCTTCATGCATGCTAGGCATGCACTCTACCACAAAGTCACATTCTCAGATCCCCACCCCTCCAGCCCCTGTGAGACTCTTATCTCCAATTAACCACCAGAAAACTGGAAGTGGGATTGTGGCTCAAAGTGGTAGAATGCTAGCCTTGAGGAAAAGAGTTCAGGGACAGCATCCAGGTCCTGAGTTCAAGCCCCACGACCAACAACAAAAGCTGAGGGTTAGCTCAGGGGTAGAGTGTATGCTTAGCATGCTCAGGGCTCTGGGTTTGAGCCCACAAAACAATTCCACAAGCAATTTTCCTATTTGTGGGTGAGTTCCACTTCACTAGAATTTTATCTTTTCTCATTTGTTTGGTATTGAGCACCAAACCCATGGTTTTGAGTATACTAGACAAATGCTCTACCACCGAACTACATTCCTAGGCCTACTATTTTATTTTATTTTGTTTGTGTATGCCAGCATGAGGGCTTGAACCCAAGGGTGGGTACTGTCCCTTAGCTTTTTTTGTTTTTTCACTCAAGGGTAGCACTCTATCACATGAGCACAGCTCTACTTCCAGCTTTTCGGTAGTTGAGAAAAGGTAAGAGTCTACCCAGTCTATCCAGGCTGTCTTTGAACCATTTTCCTCAGACCTAGGCTTCTTAGTAGCTAGAATTAAAGGCATTAAATGCC